ATTGATAATATTTTTTAATATATCGATTATGTTTTTATATTTATCGACAGTATTTTTTATGGTTTATATTGTATTTAATGAATTATATTACTTTTAATGAAATAGACTATGTTTTTTATAAATTATATAGCATTTAATGAAATAGGCTGTGTTTTTTATAAATCATATTACTTTTAATGAAAGTGGTTATATTTGTTATAAATTATATGGCATTTTTCTAATTTATACAACATTTTTAGTAAAATCAATAATTTTTTTCTAAAATATATAGGATTTTTGATAACTTATATAACTTTTGTTTGAAAATATTTTGCTTTTTTTACAAATTATAAGATATTCCCGAATATTAGGAATAAAAATACACATAATAAATAAGTTATTATCTGTTAAAAATACTTAATATAACTATATTTATACTATTATATTAGGAGAGCTTACTCAATTACTTCGTTTGAGTAAGCAGAATTATTTATTTTTAAAAATTCTTTCAATTAAAATTTTAACATTGTTCAAATGATTCACGTTTTTGTGAGATCACAACAAAGTAACAAAAAAAACTTAATAAGTTTTACACTCTTATTTTGTGATATGTTTAAGTTTTACAATCACTATCACACTGAGAATAAACACATTTCAAAGTGTCAATTGAACCTTTCAATTAAACGTTTGACAATGATAATCAATTAAATAACTCTTCGAATTCTGCTTTGTTTAGATTTGCCAATACATTAAAAATTTATTGTCACTTAATTCGTCAATAAAATTCGTGTTTTCTTCACTTTCGACAATTTCTTTTACGATTTCACCATTATCATTGAAATTGTATTTTATTCCATTAATCATCACAACCTCATTTTTGTCGAAAATGTTCACAAATTAGTTTTTGTTGAGGGTTTGGCTGGAATTTACTAATTAAAAATTGACTCATTCCAGTTAGATAATAACGTTTTCATTAACTTTCATTTTTAAATCACCATTACCACCAACTATATCGAATAATAATTATGTATTTGAATTGTAATAAGATTCGAGACCGGCAGTTTCTTTTTGTTCGTTGTAAGATTGGGTTGTTTGTTTTTGAACTTTGTTTCTTTTTTGACCTTCCCACTTTCTTTGTTTTGTTTCAGTGTTAACCAAAGTTGAGTTGCACCCAAGTGTTGGCTTCTTCGATATTTGATTGTCAATTGTTGTGGGTTTGGCTTCTTTTGTTTTTTGATTGTTTCTGTTTAAAAACAAGTCTTGTAAACTTTTCTGTTCATCAGACCATATTGGTACATTTGTGGGAATCATCGTGTTTCTTTTTAAAATTAAAGAAATTGTATGATTATTTGTTAACATAAAAACAGTAAAAGATTCAGCCTGTCAAATGACAGCTGAATTTAAAAAAATCTATATTTAATTAATTGATAAAAATAGTTTTTTACCTGAAAAACTATCTTTGAGTAAGCTCTCCTAATATAATAGTATAAATATAGTTATATTAAGTATTTTTAACAGATAATAACTTATTTATTATGTGTATTTTTATTCCTAATATTCGGGAATATCTTATAATTTGTAAAAAAAGCAAAATATTTTCAAACAAAAGTTATATAAGTTATCAAAAATCCTATATATTTTAGAAAAAAATTATTGATTTTACTAAAAATGTTGTATAAATTAGAAAAATGCCATATAATTTATAACAAATATAACCACTTTCATTAAAAGTAATATGATTTATAAAAAACACAGCCTATTTCATTAAATGCTATATAATTTATAAAAAACATAGTCTATTTCATTAAAAGTAATATAATTCATTAAATACAATATAAACCATAAAAAATACTGTCGATAAATATAAAAACATAATCGATTTATTAAAAAATATTATCAATTTGAAACCAATGAGCACTGTATCAATTTAAAAATATATTCATATAATTAACTATATTACTCTATTTAATACAATAATATTGTAATATTATTGTATAAAATATTAATAATATTTATACAGTCATGCGAAAAAGCTGTCGCGTTTGGAAAAACCTGTCTCGGGTGGTAATGAACTATTCTAGTACTATAAACAAATGATCTGAAATAGAAAATGTTATTTGGAAATGCCGAATATTTTTATTCGATTTTTGTGAAATGACCCTG